CAATTCGATTCAATTTATTTGTATAGCGCCAATTCAACCAGATCATACAGTCAAATTGATTCAAAGTTTTCTATCTAAGGAAAACCAGTTGATTGCATTGACTTAAATGCAATCCCTCACACTAAGCATGCTTGTAGCGACAGTGGAGAGGAAAAACTCCCTTTTAAAAGGAAGAAACCTCCAGCAGAACCAATATACTTTAAAAAACAACAACAAACACATACCAGCTAACTTTGTTAGACTAATGTTTTGTAAATTAGATTAAATGAAAATATTACTAGTCACTTCAGGAAATTATTTGTAAGAACGATGCCTCATGTTTCTTCACAGAAGTAATGTGCAAAAGTTAAACAGCAGCTTTTTAAGTCACGTTTTGAAATCCTGTCAGTCTGTAGTTTGGGGATCTGCAGGAAATCTCCTTTATTCTGAATATTTCAATCTAAAAAGTTTATTTTAGACTTTTAGACTTTCAGACTTTTTAGAGAATGTTTGAAAACCAACAGCATAAGTTATTGTAAGCTCCCAATATGTACAATTTACCAAAAGTATTGATTTCTTGAATAAATTAGATCCTGCTCGAGCTTCTGATTTGAAAATATCAACTAAATGAAACTAAGGAATTTTGTTTGACATGATCAAAACAGAACCGTTGCTGAGCTTAATGTACCACTTCAAAGTAGTTCAGCAAAGAGGAGTTTGGCCCAAAGGCCCGTGGATGTAAACTTCGCTGAGCTAGAAAGAGCTTCACTTGCTCCACATCCTTCCTATTATAGCTGCTATGTGGAGATGTGGTCTGTTTCCTGACCCGAGGATGGGCCGGATGGAGTGCTGGCACTTCAAGGACGGGTCCTTGAGTTCTTGGATGCCTCTCCGGAGGCAGCAAGATTATTTAACTCCGATCGTTTCATCTGACACAGCAGAGACATCCGAGCTGTCTTTCATAAGGGCCTCTGTTGCTGCCGTCTGGATGTAAACAGTGTCTTATTAGTTTGAGCATTAAAACTTCTCTTTCCTGAACATTATCTGTTTTATATCCTTAATGAGACTTGGTAAGTCCCAAAGCCAAAGCTTGGTTCCTCTACCGTCATGACTCCGTCATGTTTATTTTCCTTCGAAGCCAAGGGCGCTCCAGGGCTGAAACTAAGGGAAACATTTTAATTACAACCATTCAGTCTCAACATTGTGTTTTATGAACAGAGAGGTAGGTTGCCTTCAGGGGTCTAGAGGGAAACACATGCCCACAATAACACGCTGAGATCCTCTGACTCTGTTATTCCACACAGTCCAGATTCTTCATAGCCTACAATGACAACATATTCACCTCTCTGAAAATATTTGGCTCTCTTTCACCTCATCGTTGATGCAATTTGATGGATGTACAAGGACTCCCCAGCTCTGAGGGAACTGTTGGGAAAAACCCTGGGGTCAACCATACCTTTATTTTTGTTGTAACAGTCTCCAATCTTTAAGTGGAGGCACAGCACATAATTGATTTGCAGCACACTCCTGGCGCTGGTCAGTAAAGATGTGTGGGATGGAATTACACCGGCTTAAACTGGCATCTCACTTCTACTCTATGAAAGGTTTGACCGCCCTCAGGAGCTTCTGCAAGATCTCACTGTTATAGAAAAAGCACACAGAGCTGCACCTGACACTCCATTTCCAAAGTGCACAACTCTGCTACCCTGTTTGACTTATTTCTAGTCTTGAGTGTACATAGGTTTTCAATTTGCAAAGATCTCTATCCGTGAAATAAAGCAGAGCTGACAGCAGCTCATAGGGGGGCCCGTTTGTTGTGCTCTTGGTTGAGGATATTCCTTCACACTCTGAAGACTCCCCTGAGGTGATGGATGTGTGGGTGGAGTGGGGTTAACGGGATTTGGACAAGCCTGGAAGATCTCCATACAGTTCATCAAAGGCACCTTTAAATCCCACTCTCTGAATGAATAATTGCAGGATTTTAATAAAAACAGCCACTCCCGAAACTCAGAAAGAATTCATGTTCTTCTTGTATGAGCATTAAATTCATGGCTGAAATTTGAGTTCAACTGATAAGTACACTGCTCAAAAAATAAAGGGAACACTTAAATAACACGTCCTAGATCTGAATGAAATGTTCTCATTGAATACTTTGTTATGTTCTGAGTTGAATGTGCTGAAAACAACACACACACAAATCATCAATGGAAATAAAATTTATTAACATTCTACTGACTGATCCAACTTTGATGTAATGTCCTTAACAACAGGTGGAACTGAGGCTCAGTATTGTGTGTGGCCCCTACACATGTGTATGACCTTTCTACAATGCCTGGGCATGCTCCTGATGAAGTGATTTCCTGATGGATCTGCTTCCAGACCTGGGCTAAAACATCCGCCAACTCCTGGATAGTATGTGATGCAATGTGGTGGGACTGTCCGTAGCTTCAATGCCTTCTTCTTAAGGAACTGCTGACACGCTCAGCCACATCTAACATTGTCCTGCATTAGCAGGAACCCAGGGCTAACTGCACCAGAATATGGACTCACAAAGCATCTGAGGATCTCATCTCGGTAACCTAATTGCAGTCCACCCCGCACCATTACTGACCCGCTGCCAAACAGGTCACGCTGAAGGATGTTGCAGGCAGCAGATCGTCCTCCACTGTGTATCCAGACTCTGTGATGTACGTTGCATGTGCTCAGTGTGACACTGCTTTCATCTGTGAAGAGCATAGGGTGGCAGCAGCTAATTTGCCAATGCTGGTGTTCTCTAGCAAATGCCAGGCATCCTGGACATCTGTGGACAACGGCCCCTCAGACCATCCTCATTGAGTTGGTTTCTAACTGCTTTTGCAAACACATGCATATTTGTGGTCTGCTGGAAATCCTTTTGCAGGGCTCTGGCAGTGCTCATCCTGTTCCTCCTTGCACAGAGGCAGAAGTAGTGTCCTTCTGCTGGGTTGTTACCCTCCTACGACCTCCACAACGGTTCCTGGTGTACTGGCCTGCCTCCTAGTAGTGCTTTCGGCTTCTGGACACTACGCTGACAGACACAGCAACCTTGCCACAGCTACCATTGATGTTCCCTTACATGAGCCACTTTTGTTGGTTGCAGAGTCCATCTCATGCTACCACTAGCTTAAAAGCACCACCAACATTCAAAAATGGCCAAACACCAGCCAGAAAGCATATAGGTACTGAGAAGTGATCTGTGGTCCCCTCCTGCATTTGCACACCATCATGTGTCATTTATTGTGTGCTGCTTCCCAAGTGGACAGTTCAATTTCATAGAAATTTGATGAGTTATATCCTCATGTTTATGTCTTCCCCTTATTTTTTTCCACCTGTGTATTTTTGGAAGAATGTTGCACATTCGTAGGAAATATAAGATTCCTTTTTTTTTTTTTTTTTTACAATAAAAGAAAAGCTGTGATGAACTTCAAATACTTACATAATCTGCTTGTGGGTTATTTTATGTCAGAATAAAAACATATTTTCTTTGAAGGTCTCAAAAGATGGTTAGAACTGCGGAATTTTAGAATCAGTCGGATAATAATAGTCTCTTTTCTACCAGGAAAGAGGCCAAAGACTGCAGAGGAAAATGAAGCTTTAGTAGATGAGACTAAAACTCAACTTTCTGACCCACAAGTAAAATACTTTAATGCACATTACCCTGAAGGTTTAAGCATGGTAGTGGCAGCATCATGATGTAGAGATCCTTTTCTTTCTGAGAGGGAAAGATGCTGATCAAACTTCACTAGCCTTGATGTAATCAGACAGACCTTGAAGATGTATTATGTAGGTATGCATGTATGTATGTATGTAATAGTGTAAACTATCTATATTTATCACTGTATATTACTTTGACACCAATGTCTTAAAACTTTCAGCAGATAATAGAAACATTAGAATACAAAATAGACTAGAAAATCTCTTTATTGTCCCAAAAGGGGGATATTATGGTGTAACAGCAGCAAAGCAACAGGCCTTATAGTAACACAACTATAGACATGGACTCTCTTTTTGGCATCAAGATCAAGACGGTTATTCTTATTGCCAAATCGCCAGACAGGACACCGTTAAAAAAGGAATGTATTTAGTATCACACTGCAAAAAACGTACCAAAAAAAAAAAAAAAGTAAACTTTTCTTAAAATAAACATGTTTGCCATTAATTTGAGCAGTTAAATAAGAAAAGCTACTAACGGAATGAGTATTTTTGCCCTTATAAAAATAATTAAATATTACATTCTTGAAATAAGACAATAGAGGTAATGTTTTCTCTTATTTAAAATGTAAATAATCTTAATTTACTGGTAGATTGTCAAATGAGTGGCTGGCCTTTCAAGGTCAACACCTTAACTGAACTAAAACCAATACGGAACCAGTAGGAAAACCTGGAAATAGATTTTACATCAGTTGCATCACAGCTCTAGACAAAATAATTTATAATTTGCAGATAGAATGAAAGGTGTTTCTCCAATGCGTTACAATGAACTGGTCTGTCAAATAAAAACCCAGTGAACATAAATTGTTGTTTTGTTTTTTGAAAAAGTTCAGTGATAAGAATTAATGACCTATAGAGTATTTTAAACATGTCTTGGATCTGATATGCTGCTTCTCTCTATATTAGGGTAGCCTATTTGTTGGCACTTCCTGTTGAGGGGAGGGAGGGGGGCTGAAATTCCCACAGCATCAGGATTACCTGCCAAGCTATTTAGATGCCAGAGCTCCTCCACATGCCTTAAACCTCTAAACAAAATCAATCTCAGCTGTTGTGCACCGAGATGAAACCAGCAGCAGCGCAGCCCTCAGTGCGCAATAATGAGACCTTTACTGTCTCCACAGTGCGCGTAACCGTGCAGGTCTCCACAGAGAAAGAGACGGATAGGATACTGCAGGAAGGAAATTTGTCATGGGTGTTAGTGTGAATCCCCCCCGTCTCTCTTTACACACCTCCCTTCTCCCACACTCCTCCAAATCAGCTTGTTTTATGAACTGAGTGGGTGGGTGCGCTTCAGTCACGAGCAAAGGAAGGGGAAATCCTTGTAAATCCCATTCAGTGCCTTGTGCATCCTTTTGGCAAAAAATAGAGTTTTTATTCTTTTTTTTCCACATGTCCTCTCGTTTCTCAGAACTTTTGGGTTTCCTAACCAGAACCAGTCCGTTTCCACGCATAGACTGACCGAGGTTCACCTGAGCGCGCGCGCCTCCCCACCCCGCCTCCCTCCCTCCTCTCACAATCACGGATTTTTTGTAATTTACCAACCAAAAGAAAAACTTTCACACACTTTTCAGCGGCGTTAACAGCAAGCAATCCCATCAAGCCTGTGCAATTCTGGACTAGAGATCTGGAGATGAAGACAGATTTTACGCTTTTCTGCCGGATTTGGATTGGAGTAGCGTGCGCCTCAGGTGAGAGACTTCAGTATCAGTAGGTCTGAAAGTTTGGAATACTTCAGCTGGTAGTTTCTTCCATGATATTGACTTTTTTTATGACTTTTTGCTAGCCTGACGTAGTCCTACTCAATTCTAGTCAGAATTCTGAGAGAAAAAAAAGTCAGAATTCTGAGATTAAAGTCAGAATTCTGAGATTAAAGTCAGAATTCTGAGAAAAAAGTCAGAATTCTGAGGGAAAAAATCAGAATTCTGACTTTAATCTCAGAATTCTGAGAAAAAAAATCAGAATTCTGAGATTAAAGTCAGAATTCTGAGGGAAAAAATCAGAATTCTGACTTTAATGTCAGAATTCTGAGGAAAAAAAAAATCAGAATTCTGAGAAAAAAGTCAGAATTCTGAGGAAAAAAATCAGAATTCTGACTTTAATCTCAGAATTCTGAGAAAAAAAATCAGAATTCTGAGATTAAAGTCAGAATTCTGAGAAAAAAGTCAGAATTATGACTTTTTACCATGTTAAACTGAAATAAAATTTAAAAATCAATTCAGTGGCCCTAATCCTCTTCCGTACATCTCCATACTTGGATTTTGATAATAAAATGTAAACTTTTCCTTTATTGGTCAGACTACAATTAAAAAATTAGTTTTGGGATTCAACTATTTAAAAAAATAAAGTATAGGGATTTGTGAATTTACTGTCAAAAGATAGGTAAACTTAACTGTATAAGCAAATAAAAATTTCATAAAGCAAAAGATCATTCATATGACAGTTTAATCCAGAGGTGTACAGCAAGGCATATATGTTTACATGTTAATTTACTTTTTAAAAATGATTTATTTAGAAAGAATATATCAAAGTAGTGAAATTGTACTGTAAATAACCTGAACATATTAAGGGCTTTATCAAGTCTGAGGACTCTGAAGTGCTTTGCATCACACGCATCCTTCATTTACACACTGGTGGTGGCAAGCTGCAATATAGCCACAGCTGTCCTGGGGCAGACTAACAGGAGGCCCTCTGACCACCAACTGTAGGAAACTGGGTGGTGTTTTTCCAAAAGACAGAACCACTTAGCTTCTAAACCCAGAGTAACGTGAAGTAAGTGATTCATCATCAAACTGTTTACATGCCACCTTTTTATGGAGTTTGATGCAATTTCAATAGAAAAAAATGTGCATTGAGTGTGGCACATTCACCTTGAAAAAACACAAAAACATTTGAAAAGTTCATTACGATTTCAGTTTTATTTTTAATATTTTCCTTCTTTGTAAAAATGGATTAACAAATCAGATTGGGGGGAAAAAACTGACATTTATCTAAAATTAAACTGATTAGAATCTAGAAGATGTTGTTCAAAATTATGTTGAAACTTAACTAAAGCGTGTTTTAACTGATAAAAATATAGAATTTCTCATCATATACATTAACTAAAATTCAAACAATTTCATAATGAGGGAATAGTTAATTTTATTCTAATAGCTTGTTTATCTGTGTTATTTTCAAGCTGATGTGGTACATTTACAGTCAAATATTTGTTTACATTGAAAATCTTTTAAAAGAGACCCTTGAATAACTTTTATAGACTCTGACTGTTGTTCCTTCGAGATGAAATGTAAGCAAACTGAGCAAAACAAGTCTGCATGCATACAGGACCTATGGGAAGGCGTTATGATGTGTTTGAAAGAAATTAAGCTGACAGTGATTTATGTTTCTAAAAGTCAAAGGGGTAAATGATAGCAGGGTTTGTTGTGGGACTTTTAAGGGATCTTTAATGTTTTGTATGTAGGTCACGTTTTAGGAGGCACATTTAGCAGGAAGACAGCCCACTGATCTGCACCAGACCCAATTGGGGGAATGGGAGGTGGGTTGAGGGTTCAGATCTGTTCATATACTCCAGAAGTAGAAGTCTGATCTGCATTCATGTGGTCATTGTTGTGCTCCAGTGGAAAATGCATGTAAGGCTGTATGTAATGTAAAACACATTCCTCCTGCTCACCCCTTTGACTTACTTCTCTGCTTTACATTACGAGTGTTTGCAGCTTTGCTGAATGTTGAGTTGTGGATCTGTGATTGTTGTTTAACAGCCGTTCATAAAGAACAGATGAAGCAGGACTCCGGCTCCTTTCATCGCTATCTGGGAGCTGCTGTGTTGGCTTGGATGTTTGCATCCAGAGCAGAAACAAATAAACCCAGGCCTCACTTACAGTTAAAGTTATGACTCTATCTGATCTGATGATTTTATGATGCGGTGCAACATTTCAACTCTCATTAGTATTCATCCATTTTTGGTTTGAACACAAAAAAGACATCCTTCATATATTCTAACAATGATCTCACAGAAGAACAAAAACAAAAGGAAGGAATAAAGAATATTATTTCTGTTAAAGCACCTTTTAAAAGGACTCTGAATATATAGACTTACACCTTATTGTGAAGCAGAAGTAGAAGAATACATTAATTAAAAAGGTTTTGTCTGCATTTCTGTTCAGCCCCACTGAGATGCAAAGGCAAGTAAAAATCTTTGGGAGAACAACTGTCTCAGCTTTGCATATGAATAAACTATTTATTTATTTTGTTTTGACATTTTTTTTCTAAGGTAGCTTAGATACTCTCATACATTTTCATCCAGTTAGACTCATGAATAAGCTTGGATCTGAGCTGCGACATTATTGCTCGGGCTACATGTTGAGAATTGTTGTCCGGTTGGATGATGATCTTTTATCCCATTTCAAACTGTTAAATCAGTCCTTAAGTGTTTGTCTTTCAGGTCCGATCTGAATTTAACTCTGTCTTCCAGAGAACATTGACCAGCTTCCATGCTCCTGCTCTCTAAAAACATTTAAGTTTTCGACTTATAAACTTAATAAAGTGTGATCAACTTGTTTCAAATTATTTTACCAATTGAAGCATTTCATTTTTGTTGAAGGAGTATGGTGCTGGAGAAAAGCCTCTCCTCCACAGCATCATACTGCCACTACTATGTTTCAACTCAACAACACCGTAACAAACAGGCACGTCTTGGTTCTGTTTAACTAGAACACCTTAAACCACATGACCCTTTCACCGCCTGCATAAAGCATTAGGTGAAAATGAATCATCTTGTGATGCTCACTAGTGTTCATTGAAGCCGTCACAGTATAGCTTTATTTATACTGAGATAGAGGCGATTTCAAAGGCCAGATTAGCAGAATAATTTCATCAGAAACAATTTAAAATGGATCAGATAACCTTGGATATAATGCCAAAATATTGTTTTTTGAAAAAGAACAGCTTGTACTGCAGCCAATTGTTGAAATTGTATCAATATAAACAGCTTTCCTGGGAAATAAAAAAGAGCATCAATAAAATATGGCTCCTTTACAGCTGCTCTATTTACTTTTACATTTTCAGAAAAACTCGGTTGCATTATGGGCCAGCCTCCTGCGCTGTGATTGGTTGGTTCTGTTTTAGACTCAAGAACACTGAGTTTGGCAACCAGGCTATGATAAAGCCTGTTAAAATATTAAACATTAAAACAATCACTCTGATTAGTGAAGAATAATGCGATTTGGTTTTTAGTTTTTCATCTCTGCAAGTTTAATGCCATCCTTAAGAAATTATAAATTTATGAAGTTTGATTAACTTCATTCAATTACTTTTTACCAATTGAAACAGTTAATCTTAGTTGAAGGTGTATTTTCTTTTTAGCGTATGCTGAAGAAATGCCCCTCCTCCTCAGCATCATACTGCCACTACTATGTTTCACCTGGACAACACCTTAACCTAACAAAAAGGTACATCTCGGTTCCGTACCAGAACACCTTAAACCACATGACCTCTTCACTGCCTACATGAAGCAATAAGTGAAAATGGTTAATCTTTTGATGCTCACTAGTGTTCATTGAAGCTGTCGCAGTATATCTTTATTTATCCTATAAAATTACTCCATTTATTGTTTAGATGACTTCTGTTTGTTTTAATAGAGTTAGCAGAGGAGATTAACAATACAGTTATCAGATTGTCAAAACTATTGAAAACGAAATGTTAACCTTTTCGTCCCAGTTAATAATAACATGACTTTTTGCCGATTGATGAAATAAAATCCTAATAAAAAGTGATGTCACAAAGTGTGACAATGAACGGTGGAGGCAAAGCATGTAAGAGAGGGACATTGCATTGCAGGAATTAAATGCCTCAACTCAGTTGAGAGAATCAGAATGGAAAAGAGGGAGAAAGCAGATTGAAAACCTAGCAGATCAGATCATCTTTTAAAGCGGAGAGGAGATACTTTCTATGTAGCTGCTGCAAAAAACAAAAGATACAACCGGAACCATTTGGAAAAGTCCTTCAATCAACGCTTCAAATATTCAGGTTCCCAAACTGCTAAAGAAGTTTGGGAGTTATTATGTGGAGATCTGAGAATCTATGGCTAAAACTGATTGTTTTATCTCCTCACAGTTATTTTGCAGCCAAATTACTCCTTTATAATAATGATAGTAATAATAATGTTTGTAGGTGTATAAGAAAACCTTGTAAATTTATGTGAAAAAATAATATTTATTAGATATACTTTGAAAAATAAAGTTGAGCTATTTTAAACTGAAATAATGATGTTTACTCAATACTACGTCTACCGCCACTTGAAGAGATCATCCCAGAAATCTGACACCCCACCCCGGGTGTGATTTTAGCTGTCGACTCATAGATGTTGAGTTTTTACTGGCCAACAATAACCTCAGTGCTGATTTCAGAATTCAACCTCAGGACTCAAAGGAGCAAACTTATCATGCCAGACATACAATATTTTCTTCCTTCAGCTGGAGAGCAGCTCAGATGGGCTGGGAATGCTGCTGCTGCTGCACCCTGTGGGAAGGTTTTTCTGCTGGAAAGCCCAAATAAACAGGGGGTCTGGTGTCTCCATTATCTCTACCAGAAGGTTCAGAAAACCTCTGGGCCTTTGGATACATGGTCATCTTATTAAAGCAACAAAAAAAACAGCTCTCCCAACACTAGGAATCTACAGGGGAAAGCCTGAAAT